GCCGTGCCCGGCCGCCCCCGCCCCGCACCGCCCCGCACGGGAGCGGCACCCCCGGCCCTTGGACGCCCCAGCCCGCGGACTCCTTCCCCGCACGGCTCGGCACCCCCGGGACGGTCCCATCATGTCGCATCTTCTCCCCATCCCCACCCGTCCTGATCCCATCCCATGCTGTCCCCACGCTATCCTTGCCCTGGTCCCCATCACGTCCCGTCCCCATCCCACCCTCTCCCTGTCCCATGTCCTCCCGATCCTGATCCCATCTCGTCCTGATCCCATCCCTTCCTCTCTACAGGCTGTCCCCATCCCATCCTGTCCCCATCCCACCCCCTCCATGTTCTATCCTGTCCCTGTGCCATTCCCGTCCCCCATCCCCATGCTGTCCCCACGCTATCCTGGCCCGGGCCCCCATCACGCCCCCCCCCACCCCACCCACTCTATCCTTGCCCTGGCATCACGTCCTCCCACCCTCTCCCTGTCCCATGTCCTCCCGATCCTGATCCCATCTCGTCCTGATCCCATCCCTTCCTCTCTACAGGCTGTCCCCATCCCATCCTGTCCCCATCCCACCCCCTCCATGTTCTATCCTGTCCCTGTGCCATTCCCGTCCCCCATCCCCTCCTCATCATGTCCTCTTCCCACCTCATCCCACCCCATTCCCATCCCACCCTGTCCCTACCCCATCCAATTCTGATCCCATGCCCTCCCCGTCACATCCCACAGTCTCCCCATCCCATTCCATTCCTATCCCATGTTGTTCCCATCCCATCCTACCCTGATCCCATCCTCCCCATTGCATCCCATTACATCCCAACCCCACCCCCCATCCTGATGCTATCCTGCCCTATCTGTGTGCCATCCTGCCCTGCCCCATACCACACCACCTTGATCCCACCCCACGCTGTCCCCACCTTACCCCATCCTAACCCCCCATCCTGATCCCATCCCACCCTGACCCCCTGCCCTCAATCCCCCAGCTCCCTGCCCTAGGGGGGGATCACCCCATCTCCCTGCTCCCCAGGAGGGGCAGGCCTGGCATCCCCCAGGCCAGGCCTGGCATCCCCTCCCCACCGCTCTCC